GGTTTTAGTTGAGCGCCACCATATTGTCCGTTTTCATCAAAAAAGTACACACATCCATCCAATTCGGAACTTATATTTAACTCGTTCATTTTTTTTTCAAAATAATCAGTATCTATGGCATACCTTTGAGTGCCGTTGGTAAACATTCCACCTCTGAGACAATCTTCAATCATGTCGAGATGTTCTTGCGTAGGAGGGTATTGAATTTGTATCAAACATAACGTAGAATTAAATTGGCTGGCGTAACCAAAAATGCTAATGTGACTGAGAATGTGAAATTTTGTAGATTGATAAGTCCTTTCGTCAAAAACCAAAATGACTGCTCCCAAAACAACCGTATCTAAAACGGCATAAATTTCTAACAACGGTCTCAGTATTTTTAATTTTAAAAAATTCCACAATTTTTTTACACTTTCATAAGGCGCTCTAATTTTATCAGTTTCTTCTTGCAAGGACTTAGATTTCATGAGTTGGTTTTCTGCAAACATTTCTATGTGGGGAAAAGATTTGTATTCAATGTCAAACAGGGTGTTATTGATTTGCGTGTAAGGAAACAATGTTTTTTTGATAAAAAAAACGTTGTAAGTAAAAACGTTTTTTGTCACTTAACTCTTCTGCGGCAATGTGAGGAAAAAGAGGCCACAAGTAATGCAACATGCTGTTGATTAATTTTTTTTGAGCAGGTTGAGACAACATAGAACTGGCTTGTTCCAGAGATCAGTTGAGCATTCTTAAAGTGTCCACTATTTGAATATGCTTGCCAAAAGAAATTACTCGAAGTTTGCTTGTACTTTGAGCAATAACAAACATATCTTCAAAAGAAGTGTATTTGACAAAGGCTTCAAACGGTTTGTCTTCGCTATCACCAGCACTCTCGTACAACGGCAAATCTATAAATTTGCGCAATCTTTCAACTATCATGATTCGATTATCGAAAGCAGCGTTGTGCGCAAAGATGGGTCAAATCAAATGAGCGCTGCATCGAGCAATATTTTTGTTACAAAAATCATGCGCCAAATCATAAACATGTCCAGAAAAATGGTCATGATCGATCACTAGATAATCTTCAAACGTAGACAGAAAAAATTGACAATGTATTAATAATCGCTCTCGCTTTTCGTCTTGACGACACAATTCTTTTAGAGTGACTTTATTTTCATACTCGTTGTTAAACGGTTGAAGCATGCATTCGTACCATAGTTGTACGGCGGGATGCTTTAATTTGCAAACGATGTGCAAAAAAGTCACAGCGTCTCTGATTCCTGACTCTGATGCCCTGACTCCTGATCCTCCCTCCTGATCCTCCCTGATCCCTCCTGATCCTCCCTGAACCCTGACTCTGATGCCCATTCCAAACTCGTATTCCCAATCTACTCGAATTTGTTCCATGCATTTTTTAAAAAAGGTGATTAAAAAATGTTTAATAGATACCAATTCAATAGGATCGTTTTCAAACCATACTCTTAATTCTTGCTCGTCTAAAACCAGGGAACCAAAGTATTTCATGTATTCTATCAGTTCCTGCGAATTTGTTCTTACGTAATCGCTCAACAAACCGTTTTGCGGATTTTTATATTTAAAAGCTTCCCACCAACGACACACAAAAAGTAAAGAGTAGATACGTTTAACAAATCTTTTTTTATTTTTTCAGCATTGTGTTATAACAAATAATTTTGAACTTCTAATTTTAAAGAAAACAATTCCAGTTTACTCACTTTTTGAAAAATAAAATTGATGACTTGTACGCTGATCGTTGTAACTTGTTCTTATTTTGTTGTGATCCAAATATTCCACCTCTTCTTCGCTCATAAATTTCAAAAGATCACTTTGAGTGAGTTTGTCTACTGGATAACAACAAACAGTGCACAAAGGTTCTGCTTTTTCCCATACAAGAATTTTTTCCTATGATGTCAACTTTAAATTTTGATGTTTTGGAATCAATACTTTATATGCGAATCGCACTAAGGTATCTGCTAGCACAATCAAATCGTAAACGCGCAATTCATTTTTTTTTTCTATATTCGGATCACTAGGATCAAGTTTTAAACACAATAGTTCTCGATGCACAAAGTGCAGCGTAGACATTGTTTCATTAAAAGCAGGAGGTAACATTTTTAAAGGATTGCTTTTTAAACTATCTATAGTACTTTCGTAGTAGTAAATACATTGCGTAATGATTTTACCTCTTTCATCTCTACCAAAGCATTCCAATGCTAAATCCTCGTTGATACATTGAATAACCACACTATGACAAAAGTACGAAATAGACGAGATGGATTTAACTAGTTTTGTTTGTTGAGAATCATCCGGAGTGCTGCTAGTTTCGCAATCATATGTAATAAAAAAGGGAAACAAAATTCTACTGCGATTCATAAATTCTTTTTGACCTTCTTTATATTGTCTTTGACCAGCATGGCTAAATTTATTTTTTTTGTAATAACCTTTACAATCGTGGTGCGCACCTCTGACAAATTTTTCATTGCATTGCGCGCAATGTTGAAAAGAAGCGCCATGAAATAGAGTGGTGTATCGTTCGTTAATGATAGACATGGCGTGAAAATGATCTTTTTTTTCTACTATAGCCAATTTAAGAGTGTTGACGCTTTTTTTGTATTCGTTATGCTATTGTCTTTCTTCATCGTTAACAAAATCGCGATAGCAATTTCGATCTTCTCTTGTTATGTTTTTGTTTTCATAAACCACTTTTAGCAATTCGGTTAAACTCGTTTTGTATTGAGATTTATAGTTGGGATACATGAGTCTTACTCTTTGCGGATTTTTATTTACCAAAAACAATTTGATGTTAATACGATCAAACTCGACATCATAAACAAAAGATTGTGTCAATTCTAACAAATTCTCAAACGACATATGTTGACATTTTTCTCTGAGTCCCATTAATTTTTTTTACCATTGTTCATCGCATTCGTCTTGCAAAACATGCTGAAAAATGTTGTCTTCGGAATAAAAATCCTTCCCGTTTTTGTCAAGAACGTTTTCATTCCATTCTTCAATTGTTGTCACTTGCCATTTTCGAACAAGTAAGGAAATTAAAAAAGTGGAATAAAAACATAAGCCTGGTTCAAACAAGCTACTATAGTCTAACAGCATCTTATATTTTCTACTAAATGTCTTTTTTTACACTTCCTTTGTCAAATTGGCTAACTTTTTGTAAATAGTTTTTTCGTACGTGCTCGCTGCTCAGTTGAATCATAGGTCTATTCCATTCACCTCTCTATTCGTTTGCATAAATTTTGAATACCTTTTCTTTTTTTTGATAAGGTTTTTTTGTTTTTGATTTTTGTTTTGGTTCTTTTGGTTCTTTTGGTTCTTTGGTTTTATCTGACACTCTTTTAGCTTTTCATAAATCAGCCGTCAATCTTTTTCTCAATCGATCTTTTTCTCTCTTTTCCATCAATTCTTCCAATGACATATCAGCTACGCGTTTACCACCCATTTCATAACCTCTTATTTTCATCATGCTTTTATTAGATAAATTACTTAAACTTTTTACCCTAAAACTACAAAGTCGTATTATTCTCCAACCACTATCATTTTCCAAAATATTAAAAGCGGCTGACAAATTGTTATTTTTTAAATATTGTAAATGAACAGGTCCTTCCAAAGGTTAATAAAATAAACAGGTGATGTATAATTTCTTTTTATCACTTTAACCATACCATCTTTTACAGATTTTCCACAGAGCATCACAAAATTAAAACCTAACAAAAAGTTTTTAAAAACATCGTGGAAAGTCTTTGCATTTTTAAATTCTTTATTAAATCCAATTTCTGTCATTGCGTTAATGTCAAATACAATTTCATCAGGTGATTGCATTTGACCATCTAATTCAATTTCTTCTACAATATCTTCATCTTTATATTTGTCTTTAATGTAATAAACAGTTTCTCTATAAACTGATTTATTGCTGAGTTGTTCTTTTTCCTCATATATTTTGTAATTTTTCATTATGCTTTTTTTTAATGTTTTTCATCTTGGCTAGAAAAAAAAAATAAATTTTTTTTTAAAAAAGATAACCTTTTAAAATAAAATAAACAACCACTTTTAAATCATGCGGTACAAAAAAAGTTTAAATAAATTCAAAATAAAGTATCCTACTTAAAAAAAATGCACAAAAAATATTATAAAAGGCGATACAAAAAACATAAAAAACATAGAAGCAAAGAATTTGTATTACCGTTGGCATTAGGATTAATGGGTTACAAACTAGTAAAAAAACTATTAAAAAAATGAAAAACAAAAGAGCTAAAAAATATTTAAGAAAAAAGAAGAAAAAAACATTAAATAAAAGAAAACGAATAAGAGGTAAAGGAGATTTTGATTTTTATATAAACAGACTTAGTAATGGCGAAAAACAAAAAATCAGAGAATATGTAAATTGAGATTCAACAATAAATAGTTATATAAATCTAAATAAATCACAATTTGATCCAAATTTAATCAAAATTATTGGAATTTAAATTATTCAACAAAAAAAAAAAAAATCATGATACGCAAAAGAGTTAAAAAATATAATCGAAAAAAAGGAAAAAGAGTTTACAAACGTTTAAGAGGTAAAGGAGATTTTATTGGATTAATGGGTCAATTGTTTAACGGTTATAACTCGTATAAAAATATGGATGAAAATAAAAAATTTCTAGCAGATTCCATGATACGCCCAATTAAACAAATTGCACCTTTACTACCATTTGGAAATTTAATACCATTTAGGAAGTTATAAAATATTATTTTATTTTTAATTGCTCATAAAAATTCAATACGTCTGGATTAGCTGTTATAGATTTTAAAATGTTCTTCAACATTTTAACATCAGGATGTATCATATAGAAATCTTCTAACGAACAAACTCTAGATAACGAAACATAATAAAGCGAAGGATCGAAAGCTGAATGCGAAAAATTAACAACTAGTTTTTTTAATGCACTACCTTGAGCTTTGTGAACTGTTATGGCAAAAGCGAGTTGCAAAGGCAAACCGTTTCAAGATGCAATGATTTTATTTTTCGAATCAAAAATATCTTCTTTCATTATTTCAGTTACGATTTCGTTGTCTTGAAATAAAACGTTGACACTATTTAAACCTAAATGAGTTACAACACCGACCGCACCGTTACATAGACCCTCTTCTACGTTGATATTTTTTAATAACATGACAACAGCTCCCAATTTGACTGTGACTTCGGGTGGAATTTGAAACGAATTTAGAGTTATAGTTTTATCTAAAATTTTATCTTTAGCTTTGAAACATGTTGCTTTACCCTTTAACTCGCTCATTTTTAATTCGTTATATTTAAAAACGTTTCCTCTTAAGAAAAATAATCTGGGACAACTTTTGTCAATGAGTTGATCACTTGTAAAATGTCTTTTTGTTAAATATTCTATAGCTGCATCGCTTACTTTTCCCAATCGAATTTCATTTAAAGCATTAAAAAAATGAGGATCTTCTTTTTGACAAAAACATTTTGTCAATACCATAGAACGCCGCATGTATTTTTTCCAAACTTCGGATTTAAATATATAATCGCCTTCGATAGATTTTAATTGCAACAAATCTCCGCAAACAATTACTTGCATGCCACCAAAAAGTTCCTCGTTATCAAATCTTACTTTGCTCGCTATTTCATGCAATAAATCAAATGTTTTAGCATTAATTATTGATATTTCGTCAATAATTAAAACGTCTGTATTTATCCATCTTTCTTTCCTCTGGTTTCATATGCTTTATATAAAATTCACATTTATTTCTACCCTCACCAATTCCAGCAAAACTGTGAAGTGTCATACCACCGATAAGATGTGCAGCATTGCCAGTACTAGCTGTAATTTCAATTTTTTTATATAGTTGTTCACTAGTTGCTAATTTGTTTAACAAATAACTTTTACCACATTCAGCTCCTGCTGTAATAAAAAAATTGTATCCACGATCAAACCATTTAAATGCCAAAACTTCATGTGCAGATGTTTGCATTTTATTTTAATCTTGAAAACAAAAAAATAATTATTCAATTTGTTTTTTTTTTCATTCTGAAAATAAATACATGAATACATATTTGCTAAAAAATACCATGTTGGTCATAATAAAAAGTTCACAGTTTTTTTTTTCTCTAAATGTTTTATTTTAAAATCATTATGTAAAACTATTTGTTCAATAATTTTTTGTAATTCTTCATCATTTTTTATGTCGTCTGAATTGTTATTATCCACATTTAAACTATTCATTTCTTCATAAGTATTACAAATATTAATATTCATTCTAAAAAACAAAAAAAAAAAATAATAAAAATATTCAAGAACAATTTATTACATCTTTGTGAAATTTCTAAAAAAAACTTACGTCTGTTATGTTTATAAAATTGATTATAAAATATTTTGAAATCATTACTTAAAAAGAATTTACATTTTTATCTCTAAAAATATAAGCAATTTCTATTTTAATCACTTTCAAAACAACCAAAATAACAATTAAAAGAATATTTTTTAATTTTTCTTTAAAAAAACAGTCCCAATGATAATCATATATCTTTTCACGACATACTCGTTTCCAAAATAATAAATTTGTATCCACAAATACGACTCTGTTCACTAAATCATTTAAAGTAAAAGGACGAACATGATAAAAATCCAAACAATAATCCATAAATAAGTTAAATGTCAACTCTGCAAATACTATTTCAGGTTCATTATCTTCTAATATTTGATCTAATGATCTTTTTACTATAGCATTATTCATTTTTCTTATTTTCAATTTTTTTTTTTAATTTTACGATTTACTTCGTCTAAACAATCCGAACGATAACTCGTATACTCTATTGTTGTAGGTATTCCTTTTTCTACTAACCATTCATATATATCTCCCAATTGCCAATAATGAAAAAACTCTACAAAAGGCACGTTATAAAAATGAGGAAATTTCTTTTTCAATTCTTTCAAAATAATGAGAGCATCGCTAATCGGTAACCAGTCTTTTTCTATTTTCATAAAATATAACCAATTTTTATCGTAAAAATGTAGCCAATCTTTATCTAATTTCATAAGAGCTGTCATTTTTTTTTAATTTCTTTTAATGTAAACTCGGGTACATAACAAGAAATCTTCCAATAACGATGCATAAATAAACCAAACCTATTTTTGTAGCATTCATTATTTTCTTTATGGCATTCAATAGGATCTAAACTCACAATACATTTATATAATGGACAATTTTCTTTTAGTTTCAAATCTTCTATTTTCAAATCTGCCAATTTTAAATTTTTTTCCATTGCTTCTTTTTTTAATGTAAAAAAATATTCTTCCACTTTCAAATCTTCTATTTTCAAATCTTCCATTTTCAAATCCATTGTTTGTTTTTGTTTTTTTTAATCTAAAAAAAATATTTATATTCATCACACTTAAAAAAAATTTATACATTAAAAGACAAAAGTAAATTTTTTAAAATTTCACACATTTTTTTTCATTTTTAAAATAACAGTTTGAATTTGTAAATTTTTAATAATTTTAAGATCATCATCAAAGTTAACACAAAAATATTTCTTGGTTTCCTCTATTTTAATGTTAATCTTTCGCAACTCAAACATCCTTGTTCTAATAATTCAAAAACCATTCTTCTATGATGCGTCATAAACAAAATACGTTCCATATTTGTATTATGATTTTGCGTTAATGCTTTTTTCATTTCCTCTATTAGAAATTCTTTTGATAATTGTTCAAATCTTTTTCAGGATGTAAATCACATTGAAAAAAATTAAAAATTGATTTTAAATCACTGTAGTGAACAAAAGGTTCGCCAGGATCTTTATCAGCACAAATACAAGTATCTTCAAATTCATGCATTCAATAAGAGCAATTTTACGTAATTTATGCAATTCCATTTTATATTTATATAATCTAAAAAAATATTATATTTAAACACTATTACTTATCTCACTATATTTAAATAAAAAAAGTTAAAAAAAAAAAAAAAAAAAGAAACAACAACAAAACAAAATTTTTTTCATATATTTTTTTCTAAAAAGTCAATCTTTTATTAAACAAAGCATTATTAATTTCAATTTTAAATTCAGCAAAAAAAGCCTTTTTTTATTTTTTGTTCATTCATCGAGTCGATCAAACATGGAATACCACTTTCGAGTTCGATCCATTAAATCTTTAAACTTTTTATCCTCAAATTTCAAACCGCGAGCAAATGATTGTAATGTCCATTTGTAAAATACTTTACCCATAAACTTATAAAGACTTTGAATTCTATCACATTCCGCAATAATAGCATCAATAAATTCTCTACCTTGCAATTTTTTCTTTATTAAATCAAAATATTCTTCCCATTCTCCTTCTAAGTAACCAAATTTAAACAAAATGTCTTGAACATTACCATTATCAATTTGAATATGGATTGAAAATCTTCTACCAAAACATGAATTTGATAACCACTATTTTTATAAAAACTCATTTTTTTTTAGTTTCTAAAAAAAATTACACAATAAAAAATGACATATTTTTATTAAAAATAACAAAAAAACAAAAAATATATAAACAACAAATTAAAAAAAAAAAATTTTTTTTTACAATTTTAAACATTCTTTACAAAAAAGATTATTTTTAGATTTTGGAAAATAATCTTATAAAAATTATGAAAATAATCATATAATAAATATTACAATAACTGCATTTCTTTGCACATTCTAAATCGTCTAAAATACTTTCGTAATGCATAATTTTATTTTGAAACATGTCCAACATTCGTTTACACATATTTAATTCTTCTTCAAACTCTTTTGATTACTTAACCAATTGAGTACATGTTGAATTTTAATAGCATCTTGATCCAATTCAATAAAATCGATTACGTATTTAGATTCAAAACCAACAAATTTGATTCTATATACCAAAGTACTTTTTAAATATTTTTCAGTATCACTTTTATTTATTTCATTCATTTTTTTTTATTCTTTAAACAAAAAAAAAGTATAATAAAATATTAAAATCAAAAAAAAGTAATTAAATTAAAAAAATTAAAAAAAAATAATTAAAAAGTCAACTAATTTAAACATTTATTTCATTTTTTATGTGAAAAATAAAAAAAAAAAATTTAAACTTTACAATAATTTACAATCGGAATAAATTCCTCATTAAACAAGTGTTTATAATTGTCAAGATCTGCCTTTTTTTGTTTTTTCTTCGTCTTTTCTAAATGTTTATTAAAACATTTAGAACAAAAAATGTTCACACAATGGGGACATTTAAACAACATGGTATAAATCAAGATTTTACAAGAATCGCATTCCTTAATATCGTGTCTTATTAACTTTATAATTCTTCGATAATGATCACTTTCAATTTTGATTTTTTGCCACTGTTTAAATAAAAATTTCTCTCGATCCGTAAAAGTTTTCAATTTGTTCTCATTCTCTTTAGGTTTCTTTTCTTCTGTTTCGCTCTCTGTCTCATTCCCAGAATCTACAAATTTCTTTCTCGTTTTTTATCTTCATTATTATTTACAGAACTCATTTTTTTATTATATAAAAAAAATAATGCGTAGTGTTGATTTAGCCATATCATTTTTTTCACCTATTTATATAAAAAGATGACTTCATATTTAAATCATATTAAAAGGATGAGATTAAAGGTAATAATAGATAACGTCAATGAGAGGTCAAAATCGAAAAAACGTTTCATCTTTTTATTTTTATAAGATCAAAGTTCAATCTATTTTTAAATTCTATTGATTTAAATTAAAAATAGATATACCGGTTTTTTTCTAGTTTTTTTTTAATATTATATAAACATAAAACTTTTTTTTTTTTCAAACACAAAAAAATGGAAACCTAGTTTAGCGTTGGTTATTGTACAGAAGTAGTGCAATATGTCAAATTCCCAGAATTGGCAGCAGCTACATTATGGAGTGTAGACTTAAAAAAAGAGGAAATTAAGGAATCACAATATAGCAAACTTTTTGTTTCTCCAGTAGCTCAATTTAATTTTGGTAAAAGAGAATTAGTCTATTCTACAAAAATGGAAGAACAAAGTATATTGCTATCTTGGTACTGGCGAACTAAATGTTCAGATCACGCTAATAAAAAATGGATATTTTATTATAGAGCTGAAATAAATCTTAATAAGGATGACACAAGTTTTGCAACTAAAAAAAGATTCTGAATATACGTTTCAAGTCATCATCTCATCAGATGTATCTAAATTAACAAAGAAATTTTTTGAATCATTGATACCCACTTTAGACAAATATCAAAACGAAGGTTATAGATATGCGCAAAATAAAAACAAAATGATACGTTACAGTCAAATCGCTAATTGCACAGTAAGACAACTCAAATAAGATGAAGATATATATATCCTCGAACAAGATCGTTTAGCTTCTCTAGAACCTGTTATTGCAACATTAAAAAAAAGTGGTATTAAACGCTCGTTTAATATAAAAGAAGTTGCTAAAGATTTAGCCACTAAAGAAACATTGGAATATAAAAAAGAAAAAACAAATGTAAAAAAAGTAGACAACGATGATTAAAAATAAAAAAATAAATATTTTTTTTTTTAATTGTAAAAAAAAACTATGACTTTAAAAAGAAAAAATTTTTTTTTAAAAATAAAACCTACTTTTTTTTAATTTTATTTTTTATTGCGTGTATAAAAAAAAAAAAGTATAAATAGCGCGACATAAATTAAAAAATTCTTTCATTCGCTTCAACGTAACGCAATGACAAACATACAAGTAAACAATATTTAGAAAAAATAATTTCAACGTTTCAACCATTGTATAGTCAGTTTAATCATACGCGTGATACTTATGAAACATGGCTAATTTTAATAAAAGAACATTTAATAAAATGGGATGTTGAATAATTTCAACGTTTCAACCATTGTATAGTAGGTTTAATCATACGCGTGATACTTATGAAACACGGCTAATTTTAATAAAAGAACATTTAATAAAATAGGATGTTGAATTGCATTTGT